TAACAATGTTTAACTCTTTATTGAATCAAAATGATTTATATTTTTAATATAATTTAAAATAAATCAAAAAGGCTGATGTTATTTGATTGTTTTAATATGAAAATCTAATAATTATAACAAGGTGAAAATTTTTATATAATGAAACAAATCTAAATTTATTTTTAATAATCTTTAAGTTAAAAAAATAATCTAATTTCACCAATTTATAAAAAATATCGATTGGATATTTTTGAGTTTTTTGAATTGATATTTATATAATCTTAAAACTTAGAATTATTTTAGTTACATTTTAATAATTTAAATATTATTAATTAAAATAAATGGGTATTAACTAATATAAACAATTTCAAAATATTTTAGTTTAATAGAAATGTTATTTAGTAGTAGGTGTTTTCCTTTAGCAAATTGCGGTATTTTTAGTTATTAGATCAGGAACATTTGTATTTTCCATCTAGATATCTAAAATATATATAATTATTTACATTTTATAAATTTTTAAAGTTTCTGAAAATATTATTGTCTATTGAGATAATCTGATTCTATGCCACAGTGGCCAACATTTTAAGAAATCCACAATTCATATAAATTGTTTGTATTTTTGGCTAATTATTTGGCATGTTCATCAGAAATAATATTATCATTGGCACCATGCATAATGAATACTGGGCATGACACATATTATATTTAATCAATATTTGGAAACATATCATAAAAAGGAGTTTCATCTATCTTATGAGAAATCACTCTTAATCCAGAACTAAATCCACTTTAGATAATAAGCCCTCCTATAGGATATTACGGATTTGAAGCTAAATTAATGCTGGGCCCTGAACCAATACTGTAACCATAAACAATAATTTAGGTTGGCTTATATCCTAATTGATGAATCAAAAAAGTATAGGCAGCATAGATATTACGAATAATGTTGACGTCATTACTTACACCATCACTTTATCCATAACCACTATATTCATAAGCAAATACGCTGGTGTTTGTATGTTCAACAAGCTCTAAAATAATAATTTATAAAATACTTACTAAGTAACTTATCAATTATCATTCCCAAATCACAAGCATTTCCATGACTAAATAAAATTATTTATTCACTATATCGATTCAAGTAAACACATGCCATTTTTTTGTTTTTCCTTAAACTTAAAAAATATGCAGTAACATGACAAATATCAGAGCAAATAATATAATCTTCATTTTCATCCGTTGATTTATTTGAAAGTTTGATAAAATCATATTCTGGGTACTCTCTTATTTTTTATGAAAATAAAATTTTACTCCAAATTATTTATATATTTCTTTCTTTTTTAAATTTATTATATGTGGTTCTTTTTGTTAATTTATAAATCATTTCTGTTAGATAAATCTACAATTTAGATTTTATCAGAAGAATTCTACTACTTTTCCTTATAATTGTGATTGTTATTCTATTTTCTTAATCTTAATTCATATGTAGTTTAAGGTGGTCTGAATACAACTAAATGAATTAACTTATTTCTTAATCCACATAAACTAAATGAGTATAATATTCCTGTTACAAAATATTACATTAAAATTATTTATTATTAACAATCTAAACAATTATGATGAAAAGTAAATTCTATAAAAGATGTCTAAGTAGCTAAAATGAAGATAATTCTAAAGAGTAAGGAATCTTCAAGCATCCTCACTTTAATCTTACTCCTATCAAATAAAGAGTCAATCTATTTGGAATAGATGCCTATGATAACATTACTTCCTAACTTTAATCTCCCAGATAAATTAAAAATATTAGTTATCCTCTTAAGATTTTTAAATAAAACGTTTATTAGGAAGAAATTCCATTTAATAATATTGTTTAAGGTTATTTTTTACCAACTCCTAGAAAAACTTCATTATAAATTAATAAAATTAGCACTGAACCTACTACTTTTAATAATAGTCCAATTAAAAAATAAGGTAAAAATCGTATCTCTTTAAAAAACAATTATAATATGCAAGAATATGATCTAGATAAATAATTAAATATCCCATAGAAAATTAGATTATATTTTAGTTTTCAAAAATTGCAGAAAAGATTCTTTAAATTATAAGAACTACTCTCCTTTATCAGTATTAAATCTATTTTTTAATATTTGAATGACTAAAATTCAAAAATCATTGATTAAATTGCAGTAATTATTTTACTTTAACTAATTAGGAATTTGATGTATAATTTAAGTAATACATATTGACTGAGTTTCTTTTTATTATCTTGTACTTTTTAATGAAATATAATTTAATCAAAAGAGATGAATTAATTAGATTAGAAAAACTCATCCTGTATTAACATTAATAAAATGCATGTAATGTCATTCATAATCTTTAAATCCATATTCCAGGATTCAAAACTTATATGCATTATTTCTTTTAAGTTCAATAAGCAAATCCATCAATTCCTAAGCAAATAGATTAACTGAATAAATATATTGATAAAATGATTGATGATTTAATTAGGTACATGGTAATTCATTTATGAAGAACTATTGTTAATATTTAATTGCAACAATAAATTAGAGAATTTTTGTTTATGAAAATTGAACAAAAAACAAGCCATTTTATTGATAAATTGAAAAAAATAATAGAATCAATTTAAGAATTTCTCTATTATCTACCTAAAAATGAAAATGAATATACATTAATTTTGGATTTAGAAGAAACATTAATTCATATAGATAATAATGGTTAAATAAAAAAGAGGCCATTTCTCTAACAGTTTCTTGAAGAACTCAGTCGATATTATGAAATTGTTGTTTTTGGACATCTTCAATAAATGGAAATGGACAAGTATTTATTTTTGTTTATTTTAGAATTATTTAATAATTAGATTGCAATTCAACTATTAAGCACAAGCTTAATAGAAATCATTTAATGAAATATTAGAAAGTATTAGTTAAAGATTTGACATTGGTTGGAAGACCTACTAATAAGTATATAGTAGTTGATAATGATCCTTTTAATTTTCTTTTAAGTCCCCAAAATGGAATTTAAATAAAATCATGGTATGGTGAATAAGGAGATCATGCATTATAAGATTTATAGCCTTTTTTAGAAGATTTAAGATTATACAAAGATGTTAGAATTGGATTAAAATAAGTCAAAACTTATTCTCAATATTTTTTTGTGCCTTAATGATGGAAATATTTGATATTTATATTCTTGAAATAAAATTATGGATGAATAATAAAATCAATAAATAAGTGAATAAATTTTAATAAAATCTAATCAAAAACTTTTTTAAATTTACATAGGCGATTAATTAGAAGATTATTTCTCTTTAATAGATTCTTCATATTATTCAAGTAATTTTTCTAATTCTTGAATATGCAAGGTTTATTTATATATTTCAGCATTTAAATCTCTTATTTCTTTATTTTTATCACTAATATATATAAATGAATTTATTACTCTAATTCTTCGATATGTTTATTTTTTAAAATTTCAATTTACTAACCAAATTCTTACCTTAATTCTTCGCTGGGTTATTATTCATTATTTTTTTCTTGTTCTAACATGGTTTGAATATGTTGATTATATGATTAGAGTTGATTAATGGATTCTTAATATTTATATATTTCTAATTGTTATAAAGATATCTCTTTATTTAATTATTCAATTTTTTACTAAAAATATTAAAATATAATAATACTTTGTGTTACTTATTTTAATTTTCTAATTGTTTGATTTAATTCATTAATTCTTGATTATCTTTATGAATAATTTTATAAGTTTTTTCATATTGTATAATTTTTTTTTCTAAAGGTTCTTTATTAGTACGAAGGTTAACAATAGATTAGTAATATTCTAATTTTTCTCTGAGTCTTTGATTTTCTTCTCCATAATTTAAAATTTCAATCTAGATTATAATAATAAATTACTTCTAATTCTTATAGAGTAGTGTATTTAGTAGATTTTTTGAATTAAGCAATTTCTTTATTTTTTTCAAGTAATTCTTAGACTAATAATTTATGTTTAGCTCTTAATTTTTGAACAATTGCAGTTTTTTCTATAAGTAATTTAGTAGATTCATTATTATAGTTAGTTTTACTATGTTCTTCAACTAGATTTTCATATCGTTGTAATTCTTTCTAAATTAAGTATTATGGATACTTCTAAATAAACTATTCGAGATTTGGCTTAGGATGACTCTTTTTTTGATGTATTTAATTATAATTTGAGTTATCTAATTTCTTCTTAAGTAACTTCGTATTCAGAAGATAATTTAGGACTTGTAAGTTATTTACTATTTGGAAATAATGTTTATACATTAATTTACTTCCAATATTAACACTACTTTCTAAGATTCTTGTACCATTAGTAGTTATGGGTCTAGAGTTCTTCATCCTAAACTACATAGATGACATATGTAAAAGAGGGCAATTAATATATAATCAAAATAATATTAGAATATTAATATAATAAAATAATAATGTTAAAAATATAATTTAAAATCAAAATTTATTATTATTCTTCTTTAAAGTTGTTTAAGTTGTTTGGAGTATTGATTTAGTGGAATGTAAAGGAGATACAATAGAATTATGTTATTTCTTTTTTATTAAATATCCTCTAGGAGATGGTCTGGGTGTAAATTATTATTATTATTATTATAAATTAATGGTTTGTAAAGAAATCATAGAATTATGATTAGTAGTAGCAGTAGAATGATTTGATATCAAATTGGATCTTCTTTAAATAGGAGTAAGATATTTGAATTCAATTTAAGTCTTTTTTTTCATAAAAGGTCTTAGTGTAATTAACTAATCTTCAGTAGGTTATTGGGATTTAGTAAATTATTAATTAACTTTAAATAAATCAGTAACTAATTTAGATCTAGTTTCAAATGATAATCGTGTATTCTTATGGAATTAATAATAATTAAATAATACTTTGATTTGAAATATAAGATCTGTTCTATTTGAACAATAACAAAGATATCTTAACAAATTAACAAAATCAGTGGAATAATAATTGTCTTGGCCTGTTTCTCTCATCTTTCTCATCATTAGTCGAAAAGCTAATTAGTTTTATTTTATATAATTACTTTAAGAAGTCGATTCATCTTTGATTACTTGTTTAAACTCATCTAAATCAATACATTCTGAATTTATCACAATAACTTACTATTCCCATCTCTATCTGTTTTTTCAAAAAATGCTTTAAGTAATCTCATATTAACAGGATAATTATTTTTCTTTAACATTGAATATAATTCATCTAACTCAATTGAATCTTTGTATTTAATTAAAATTTATATCTTACTTGAATGATCTCTATCAATTAAATGGAAAGTTTCTGTTACAATTACATCATCAAACAATTCTTTCTCTGTTTTTAAATATTTCTCTTTTGTCTTACTAGCATGTCTTGAATTAAACCAGTTTTTGCTTTCACAAAAGTGAAGAACTCTTTCTGAAGGTGGTAATATTTACATTATAAAATATATATATTATTTTTATTGTTTTTATAATGGAATTCCAATATGCAAATGTTATTTAAGCATAAATTAACCATATATCAGATTCTTCCTTTAAAATCAAATCTCATTATATATTATCCTAAAATGAATTCCAGACTTTTACAACCTACTATTCTATTAAATAACTAAAATTTCAAAAAATGATATCAATCAAGATATTATTAAAGATCTTTAAACTTAAACCACCTTCTTAAGAGAACTTTTAAGCATATAATAAATCAATTTTATTCTCTCATTATATCATTGTATACTAATAAAAATATCATTATTCATTAATTTACATTCCAAAACTAGAAGATGTTATCTAAACTCTAAATGAATAACTAGAAAAATTAAAATTTAATGAATTAATGAATCCAAAAAATAAAAAGTATTATAGTAACAATAATTGTAATTTTGTTTATCAAAGATTCCAATTAAAATAGATTATGTTTTAATAAAGGAAAAGTCATTATACTTTAAATTTCAAAGAATCATAATCCTTTGTTTATTATAATAATGAATATGAAAATTTCAAAAGAAAAAATCTAATATTCCTTTTATTAAGCTTAATAGAGGTGTAGGATTAACAGAAGATTAGAATGAATTACTATTTTTTAGGCATTTCTTAATAACCATAACCATAAATCTAAAGGAAGGAATCTAAATAAAGTGAATCTTAAAATGATATTTAATCAGATCTATTGAAATTTAATTTTAGAGTTAAATCAATAGAAAAAGTTATTAAAAATATAAATCTTGCACAATTTACAAATTAAAAATGATGATAGTAGTTTATCACTTCAAAACTTCTGCTCACTAAAAATTATATTAAAATTTAAATAAATCATAATAAGTTTATCAATAATTATTGATACTATTATATTTAAATAAGATCTTATTAAGTTATCAAAAGTCCATGCAAAATCCATTAATATAAGAAGAAAGAAAAATAGATAATTTAATATACATTAAAAAATCAAATATTTTGTTTATAATTATTATGAGGTCTTTATTTATTTTGTTGACTTATAAATATAACATTTCTAAGAATATTAATATATGTAATGTAACACCAGTATTATATTAATAATTTTTATTTCAAAATATGGAGCAAAAATTACAATTATTATATTCGAGCATAGAAGTCGATCCCACTAATCCTTAAATTCCATAAAATTTAAAACATTTGAAAGTATTTTAATATTTTCTAATTGTCTAGCTTGAAATTTTTAATGAATTGGCTGTCAATAGATTAGCAACAGAAAAAATAGCATGTAAATTATATAAGAATATTATTAGTACATTTCTGTGAATTAGAAGTCACATATTTATTAATTTCAAGACAAATCGAAAATTTTGAATTAGCAATAGAAAGATTAATGAAATTTTATAATTAAGGTTTAGAAAGCAAGGACAAAGCTCACTATACTGGAATTTATTTAATTTATTTATTGTCTTTTAATAAGTATGAAAATTAAGTGATTAACTCAATAGATTTGCCTAATATTATTCTTAAATTGAATTATTACCAAAGGAAACATTTTAAAATCCTTTTGTTCACTTTGTGCTTTAATTAGAATATAAATTGAGTATAGGCAGTTATTCTGATCTTTTGGGAGATTATCATCCTACTGGAATTGAGAATGTATTCTTAGAAAGAATTATGGATACTATCAGGTAATTTGAATTGTAAATTTAGATTATAAACTGCTTTAAGTGCTAATGCATCCTACAAAAGTTTAAGTTTAGAAAATGCTATTAAATTGTTCAATGTTAAAAGTGTTTAAGAATTGTAATAGTTTGCTTAGAAATAAAATTTCAAATGGAAATTCGATAATCATTAAGTTTATTTTGATAATGTAATAAATCAAAAATTTATTTCAAGGTTTAAAAGTAAGAGAATCCTTTAAACTCAGAATTTTTGATCTAAAATTCCTTAAGATATGTTCATGAATTTGATAAAATTATATGAAAAAGTAGTAGTTAACAATATAATCTTATAATACAGATATTAAATAATTATTCTATGTTTCTAATTCATGTATCTGATATGAAAGATTCTATCTTAGCTATTTTTGGTAATTTTTAAAAACTATTTTTTGTTCCTTGATTATTATTTTTAACACTATCAATCAATTGATAAGGGTTGAAAGCAGAATTATTTAATTATGAAAATCTAATATTATATTTAATAAATACACTTTATTTTATTATTATTCTAATTCATTCTTCTATCCTACTGAGATTGTATATTTTTGTTGACTATTTTGTTATGTTTCATTTTGTATAACATTTTATTTATTCATTAAAATAGGTAATTCCGTAGAAGTTCGTTTTATATTTGATAAGCCTTTTGGTTAATTTATTATTTTATTCTACATTTTATTATTCTTTTTTTTTAATTTAATTTTACTTAATTGATTTATGAGCTTTTTGAAGAACTTCTCATTTATTTGTCATCTTTATCTTTTTTTGTATCTTCTGAATTCTTTAATTACTACTAAGAAGTTGATGCAGTAATTTGAGTTAATTTTAAAGCTATTTTATTTTTAAAATTAGATACCACAAGTTTTGGCTAATTTTTTTAAATTTATTTTTCGATTATTGAAAGTACCTAAGAATGATATCTATGAATTGAAATATTAGGATTTAATTGGAGTCCCTTTATAAATTAAATCAAATCCTCCTATTTACTCTTCATTTCCTGTTAATATTTTTTCAAGATCTATGATTGTAAAAACATCATCAAGTAATCCGCATTTTAATTCAAAATCAATAGGTGTATTAGAAGTCATTGATGGACTTAATAAAATTAAATAAAATTAACCTCGCATTAACTTCTAGTAACCATGGTTTTAAAGTTGAATCAAATAGAATATCAAATCCATATAATTCAAAACAATGTTTATCATTAATGATAATTTTCTATACTGCTTATAATGATTTAATCATTAATAATTATATATTATAAAAAGATTCTTAAACTTTATCTTATCCATATTTAGTCATTAAGAATAATTTAAGTTTTTATAAATCCCATTTCCCACCTAATTTTTCATCATAATTATCAGATGTTTTTTAGATAGCAACATTAGTTAAATGGACATCTATTATAATTTTATGATAATTATTACATGTATTTGTAATATCTTCATTATCATATCTATGATGAGTGAATCTAGCGAAACCTGTTCTATATAAATATAAAGTTAAAGGAGAATAGGATGTACATAATAAATAAATTCTAGCATCAAACTTTTTACCTCCAATTAAGAGAGGATCAGCTATATATCTTTAAACTATATAAGATTCAGCAGATGGATTTTCAGGATTAAATTTAACTTAATTTTTCCATTAAGAAATTTGTTGTATTTTATTAAATAAAAAAATACCTCGTCCTTATGATTTTCCAATCTTAATTTAGATATATAAAAAATACCGGTTTCATAATCCAAGCAGTTTTATTATCACCTTATCTTTTGAATTCTTCATTAAATATTGGGTATTCACTTGGTAGATGATAGGTAAGTGGGAAAAAATTATAACTAAGTCGTTAAAAGGACTTTTATACGAATTAGCTTCATCAATTTTTCCTTCTTTTTCTAGCATTCTTCTTTATTTTTTTAAATTTTTAATCATCAAATCTTTTCTTGTAAGCTAAATTAAAATTTAGTATTACCTCATAATGATTGCGAAAATGATTAATTTTTTGATGATGTTAAAGATGTATATGATCCATAACTTCATGAATCCATTCTTTTTCAGCCCACATTATGTCCCAATCATCACCATCTGTTTCTCTCCAATTTCTTCGTTTAAATGCCTATTTTATTTGATTGAAAATTAAACTTCTAATATGCAATTTCTAAAAGATGTTTTATATTTAATATTTGAACTTAAAAGGATAAAGATAGATGTCATTACAAATGATTTGGATAATTCTCTTTCTTTATATACTTTCGAAAGTATTCGGACATGATTTTTTTATGTTTTAATTTAATTATAATAAATTACATATACAATTTTTATAGTTAAGGCATATATTTTTAATAATCATATTCAAATACTTATACTTAAATCATTCTCATTATCGTCTTATTAAACTTTTATTATTTCTACATCTGAACTAGTATTCATTATTTATTTATGTTATCTTTTTAGATGTTTTTTCAATAAGATATATGATTAAAAATCTCTATAACATATAAAACAACAAAAGATATAATAGTTTTAACAATGTTTCTTCAATATATGAGGATGATAAACTCCAGAAAATCCTTAAAAATCACATGAAGGACATTAAATAACTTTTTGTCCATTAGCTTTTTAAATTATCCATTTCTTATTGTCTATACAATTTACTATTTGCTTTATCTAATTTCTTAACTCTTTAAACTTACTTTTATTATGATAGTCCTTTATCTATTGGAAATCAAAATTTTAAGGTTTAATTGCTAAAGAATTTTTCTATCTAAAATCTTATATAATATTATTAAGCTTCTTATAACATTCTTCAGGAGATATCTTTATTTCTTAATTCACATCATAGATTAATTTTTATTAAAAATCTGAATTATTTTATTTTGCTACTTCTATAGATTTTTCATTATTAAGATGTTTTTTTTTTTATTTTTTATCAACTTATTCAAATTAATTCTTTTGTTCTTCCATATTTTATTTATTTATATACATATCTTCATCTTTCTATTGATCATTATTTTTAAATAGAATTGTTGTAAGTATCTAAGTGCAATCAAGTTACATTTCTAATATTTTTTTTAGTATGTTTCTAATTTCTTCATTCATTAAACTAGATTATTTAAGAAATTAATCTAGAAGAATTTTACATAAAATGCAAAAAATAATAGAACATTTTATTATCAAATTATTACAAACCATATAGAATAAAAATTCAAGATTATAATTTCTAAATCAATTAGTTTCTTTATATTAATTTGTCTTACATTTTTTCTTTTTTATATTTCTCTAAATATTCTAATTCTTATTTGTTTTTATCATTTTTTTATGAAATCTCTAGATTTTTTTCTAAAATCTTATTTTACTTATGTATTTTCTCTAACATATTTTCCATTTATTTTTATTTTGCTAATTTAAAACGATATTCATTTTTTTCACTTAGATTTTATTTTTTTAAATCTAACAAAGATTAATGTCTAAAATATCTTTTAAATAATAAAATACCTCTTTAAACCATTTTCAAGTTTATCATCTGCTTCTTAAAGTTTCGATATAAGAGAATCAGATCTTTTTTGATCTAAAGATTCTTAAAATTATTCATATTTCTTCATTATTTTACTATTCTTCATAGATAGATTTTTTTATTATTTGATCTATGAAATTTCATGTTTATTTAATTAAATCTAAATAATATTTAAATTTAATTAATACTTGTCTTTAAGTTGATTTACTTAGATACATTTACACATTTTAATTTTCTTTTTGAGTATAAGATTCTTATAATTTTTTTTACTTTTCTTCAAACATCTTTAAACTTTATTGTTATTTTCTTTTATCTTCCACTTATTTCCTATTTAAATAGTCATTTAAATAATCTGATTTCTTTTTCATTGTATCCATTACTTGTTCAATCATACTTTACTCTTAACTTATTTATAATTATCTTTTTAATTATCTATCTTTTTCTTTTTCTTCTCTTTTTTTTAATTGTTCAACTAATTCTTCTTAAGATTACAAAAGTTATTTTTATTTTCTTTCAAAATGTAAATCGAGATCTTTTTCTAATTTTTATACAATTTTCTTGTGTTCTCTATATTGAATTTATTCTTCATGTTTATTTTTTTAACATATTTAATCTACTTTTAAATTCTTTCTTTTCAATTTTTTTTTAATTTATTCTAATTATTTTAATTTAAGTTATTCTGCTTTTTAATAAATTTCTGGAGCTGTCTTACTATAATATTCCTCCTACTTAGTAATTTAATCCTAAACAATATTAAGAAATCTAGAATAATATATTATGATATATTACTTATTATAATTATCAGATTCTTTATTGATTTTTTTATCGAATAACTCTTTCCTTTAATTGGCACTAAGAATAACAGATGTTTATGGATCATCTCTTTATGTTTTTTTAGATTCTGATTAATCAACAATAATAGATTCATCCTTAAACTTAATATTTTTGGAATTTATTTGTTTTGTAAATTCAGATTAAATGTGCTTGATCTGATTTCTTCTTTTTAAAAGGTCATTGAGTATTTAATATTTGTTAGTTATATATAGTAAATATTTAATAAGGTTCTAAAGAGGATTTTATTAATGTTAATAGAAATCTGCATATTCTTGTAATTAAAGATCATCTGCTTCTATTTTAAGCATTTCCATAGCAGCTTAAGTTCGAGGAGAGTTTATATCAAAATGCATTTGAAAAACAGTTAATGAATTAGGATTTCTAATGATTTAATGTTTTTGATCAGGTTCTAAATAATTAGATTCAATGGCAGATTTTAGTTGGGCATTAGAGATAGTTGGAAACCTTTATTTCTTGTGGTTCCCTAATAAGTTTTTAGGACTAGATTCACTACTTTAGTTAACTGAATTCATTGATTCTTATTTAGTAATGATAATATCATTCTTTTCTTTGATAAAATCAAGCATATTATTTTAGTTTTAATTTTTATTGATAATGGCATTCTCAAAATTAAGTAATTAATTATTATGCACAAACAGAAGTAAATGATAATATTAAATTGTATATTAAATGATTAAGATTGGATTAAGAAACTCATGAAGCACCATGAATGTTTAAATATTTATTAAATTAATTTAATATATTTTTCTATAAGTTATTTGAATATATATTAAATACAAAAGGATTCTCAATGATAGACTTAATGGACTTATTTTCTGACTAAAATAATATATTTTCTCCACAATTTTTCTGGAATAGATTTCCATCTTCTTATTAGCAATTTGATTAAGATATTATGTGGTAATGAAAGGAATATCAAAAAGAGCGTAACAAATAATTGACAAGATGTTATATCACTATTATAAGGGTTAAGATAATACCTAAATAATCCTGAAGCAATCAATTTCAACATCATTGATACCAGATTTAAACATAGACATAATTTGATCATCTTCTTTTTGTTGATTAGTGTATGAAAGAATAATAATTTTTCTAGAATGATTAAGACATCAGACACTATATAGAATTGTAGTGAAATAATAAATTCTGGTATCCATTTAGTATAAATTGTCATATAAATGATTGTACATCCTAAAAGAATGAATACCATTCCAAAAAGATTGGTAATAATTAGTACATTGGCTAATTTAAGTGTTTTAAAGTCATTGTCATTTAAAATATATTCAGATGGATATCCATTAGGACATATATTATTGCCATATAGTCCATTGATATAAATTTGTTGTTCATTCGAATCTAAAACATTTTTAGATTAAGATTCTAGGACAATTGGTGAACTTTGATTGATCTCTTTCATTATGGATTTATTTTTTAATGGATGGAATTGTAATTATTGTTTAGAATTTGAAAATGGTGCAAAGAATTTAAACCCCATTTTTAGATTAATATGTGTTAGAAGTAGAAATAGAGGAAGATATTTTTATATTTAATTATAAATAATTCGTCATAGAAAAAAAATGGATTAGAAAAAGATAAGTTATTAGATTGAATTAATTATGTATTATATAATAATTATTTTTAATGGAATAACAATTATAATCATTAAGAGAAAAGAAAGATTTGTTCTAAAAAATTAAGTGATGCTTATAATGTTAAATGTTTGAGTATACAATTTGAGATAAAGAAAAAAGAAATCTAGAAATGAATGGAGAAATAAAGTTAAGAAATTATAAAGAATTATTAATATTGTGTTCATTAATAACGAGTTTATAAAGAAAGAGCAGATTGGATATATAAATTCAATGATAAATTGAAAGAGGATCATAAATCAACTTAAAAGAAAGAGTGAGCATATTATTGTATTTCTTAAGGGAAACTATATAGATAAGAAGTACAGTAGCAAAAGGAATAAAGCGATTATTTCTATTGTAATTATGTACAATCTTTTTTGACAAAGATAACTAAAAATTATTATGGGGATTACACAAGATTAAATTCCTGAATGATGCTTAATACAATATATAAGTATCAGATGAAGATTAATTGGCAACTGGACTAGGTTATTTAGGATTGTTGTTATAACAAAAAGCAAAGATAAAAGGAGTAGTATTGAAACATGAATTTATATAATATAATTAAAATCAATGGAATGGAATTGAAATTGCATAAAAAAATGGCAGATTTTTCAGAAAGAATTGATTTTGTAGATTTAAAGAATTTAAAAAATATATATATATATAAAATGAGATTTTACATCTATAGTATAAAACCTTCTAGTCTTAAAATACTTAAATAGAGTTATGGATTATTAATTTAAAACCTATAAATGATAATGGAAGAACTGTAGGTATAAAAATAGTGGAAAATTGAATCATTACCAACTATAGTAGGTAAAATTGGTGAAATGTTATGGGTAGATGCTTGAATGAGAATAACTAATAATTATATTTATTTGTTAAATATATTTACTAGATTGATATATTTAAATAATCATAATATATAAATCTTTATCTTCTCCTATTCAATCATCATTATAAATTGATTAATAATAATAATAATGATAGTTTTGTATATATAATTTATTGTAATGAAATTCATACACACTTTAAGTAATCTTCTCCTCTATTTAAAATTGGTTTGAAATGACACATATCATCTACCATCCATTCTATGCTATTTGTGATCATCATTCTTCTCTCTCCTCTCATCATATTCCTCATCAAAAATGGTTATTTCCAATATGTACATTTCTCCTGCATATGACCACCATATCCTGGTAACATTGATATAAAGCACGCTTTATGCCAACATGCAATCTATATATGTAAATATTTAATTACTCTATATATTGGTTTCTTTTCTGGTTTAAATTATTATAATGTCTCATGCAATCTTAATAACATTTCCTCTTCTTTCAATATCTAAAATTAATAATACACTTCTCCTTCTAAATCACATACTTTTATCCCTTCCCCATTTACTATACCTGATACCACCTAAAAGTATTTATCAATATCTCCACTCTATTACATTGCCTTCTCAAAATAACTAATTGTCACAGGATCAGATGCACAAGTTCCTAATTATTTAGCTGCATCATGAAGCACTTTTTCTAATGTTGAAAATATAAATCCCTAATTATTACACATACTTTTACATGCTTCCCAAATAAACTTCTTAAATGATCTTCATATTTGAAGTCTTTTGCTTTTAAAGAAAGGAACAATGCAGATTTAAATAAATTATATCTCTTATCTTTTCCTAAACTGTTCTATTTACTAATTATGTATGCCATCTCANTATAAAACCTTCTAGTCTTAAAATACTTAAATAGAGTTATGGATTATTAATTTAAAACCTATAAATGATAATGGAAGAACTGTAGGTATAAAAATAGTGGAAAATTGAATCATTACCAACTATAGTAGGTAAAATTGGTGAAATGTTATGGGTAGATGCTTGAATGAGAATAACTAATAATTATATTTATTTGTTAAATATATTTACTAGATTGATATATTTAAATAATCATAATATATAAATCTTTATCTTCTCCTATTCAATCATCATTATAAATTGATTAATAATAATAATAATGATAGTTTTGTATATATAATTTATTGTAATGAAATTCATACACACTTTAAGTAATCTTCTCCTCTATTTAAAATTGGTTTGAAATGACACATATCATCTACCATCCATTCTATGCTATTTGTGATCATCATTCTTCTCTCTCCTCTCATCATATTCCTCATCAAAAATGGTTATTTCCAATATGTACATTTCTCCTGCATATGACCACCATATCCTGGTAACATTGATATAAAGCACGCTTTATGCCAACATGCAATCTATATATGTAAATATTTAATTACTCTATATATTGGTTTCTTTTCTGGTTTAAATTATTATAATGTCTCATGCAATCTTAATAACATTTCCTCTTCTTTCAATATCTAAAATTAATAATACACTTCTCCTTCTAAATCACATACTTTTATCCCTTCCCCATTTACTATACCTGATACCACCTAAAAGTATTTATCAATATCTCCACTCTATTACATTGCCTTCTCAAAATAACTAATTGTCACAGGATCAGATGCACAAGTTCCTAATTATTTAGCTGCATCATGAAGCACTTTTTCTAATGTTGAAAATATAAATCCCTAATTATTACACATACTTTTACATGCTTCCCAAATAAACTTCTTAAATGATCTTCATATTTGAAGTCTTTTGCTTTTAAAGAAAGGAACAATGCAGATTTAAATAAATTATATCTCTTATCTTTTCCTAAACTGTTCTATTTACTAATTATGTATGCCATCTCAAATCTTTAGTAAATTGTGTGCAAAAATCTTAATAATATATAAATATTTTGTGTAACATATGTTGTTAACTTTACTCTAGGTTCCAAATTGAAAAAATGTCCTGGAGCTTCATTTTCTATCTCCGGGATTTATATTCTTGTCTCTTCCGGATTATAATGAATATCATATATTTCTAAATCAGCTATTTCAGTTTTTAATTTAGTATCATTTAATGTTAATTCAGATATTTACATAGGCTTCATGGGAACTTGAAAAAAGTGATTAATTAATTTTATCATGAAAAATGTACCATTTTTTTTATCTAATAAGTTATTTCCTCCCATTATTTAAAGGTAATGTATTATAAATTATCCACATTCCTATAGTATCTATTCATTACCCATCCAAAGAGAAATAAGCGGACAAAAACGAACATTCTCTTTTGTTGGAGCAGGCAAAGGCATTTATTTAGGTAGAAATGGTTTAATATTTGTCATTTATGCTAAAGAATTTAAAAAGTTATCATCAAAATTAAACTAAATATTATCAGTTTTTCTTTTGATGAATACATGATCTTTAGTACCTAAGTATTTGATTAATACATTTTTAGCATATTCTTCTATTTCTCTTACAAATCTCTATCCATTGATTACTAATTTATCATTTTTTTTAAAATAGAAAGATCTATGATCTAAAGATCTATGAAAATTAATAGTAGAAACAATTTCCCAAATTTGTTTTGCTTTAGTATTACGTGCTTATACTAATTCATTAAGTTTTTATTTGACACGTTTAATTAATATCTTAGCACTTTCAAGAGGTTTATTTTAAAATAATTATAGGATTTCATTTTAATCTTAAGTCTAATTCCTATATAATTATTATAGAATTCTCATATCAATAACTTTTTTAACAAGTGCTTATTCATCTTTATTTCCATCAATAATTTCTTAAAGTAAATTAATAGTTCTTTTAATTTATTGAGTATTAACATCAAATTCAAATCTTTCATCCTCACTTTTAAAAAGTTGTTCTTCAAAAGTATTTTTTCTCATGATTAAGAATGATTAATCTTCAGAACCAAATGGAACTGAAACCCATGAATGATTAAGAATTTCTGAATTATTATTAACTTTAGCGTATCCAATAGGCATTCTTACATATGATCTAGTTACTCTATCAACTTAAGCGAAATCTGTATCTTTTAAAGGTTTGAACAATGGAGTTTATATTCTTCTTGCTATTACTCTAGTTGTTAACATAGATCTTATATCATCTATATATTCTCTTTCTAACCATCCTTACTAATTAATCAATTCCATAACTTCCATTTAAGTAATTATACATTCAGAATATAAATGTATCACCTTTAAAAATTCATTCATAAATTGTTAATGATCATTTGGAAACTATTATATAACTCTCAACCGAAACTTATCCCAAAATAGTAATTCATTCTATTTTAAATAATTAATATTTTTACCATATCAATAAAAGCTATTCCACTCTTATCTAATAATCTTTAAAAATAATTTTTATTTTCTTCTATCTTTTTTTTTGGAGCATTATTTTCATGCTTCTTTTTAAAACTCTATAAAAATTATTATTATAATTAAGGATCATTGCTAAATAAATCTAATATATGATCTTTATTCTAATGACCATCTAATTATCCATTCTATATTTATTTTAATATTGTTTCCATTGCCTTACTCTAATTACCTTCATTATGAACAAATTCAGTCAATTTCTCTTTTTGTGTCTTAAATTTAACATCATCTTCCAATAAACTATTTACTTCTTTTAATAGTTCTGGTTCTTCACTTAACATTTATCCCAACTACTCTTTTGCTATACGCGAATTTTAACTAACTATATTTGAAAATTGCCTATATTTTTATCAAAATTTAACTTGTAGAGTTATTAATTTGTACGTCTTAATTTCTAACAAAATTATTCGCATCTATCGTATAACTATTAATCTATATCCTATTTAATAAACCTATTTCAAAATTTACTTCTCCTATCTCACCCATATTACTCTTGCTTAATATATCATCACTCATTTTTAATTATCTTTATTTAAATAATTAAAAAATTTATAAAATAAGGAATTATTATTACATTTTTCTATTCTTTAATCATTCTGTTACAAATTATCATCATTTTCTATTTATTAATTTAAATCAAATAAAATATAACAAAGTTTATTCAAAAGTTTAAATAGTAACATCTGAAATACTATTATGATATCATTCATTTTTTCTATCCTTTCAATTAATATTAAACTTCTAATTCCATAAAACTTATTTTTATTAAAGTGATAAACCTTTTACCATCATAAAAATATTAATAATATACAAAATTAGAATTTATATAAAAATAAGATCATATAATAAAGGATTATTTATAAATGAATAAAGTAATAGATTTCAAAATCATTCTATATTAATATTTTTATTCAAATCAAAAATTTCTAAATACTTTTAGATAATAACTAAAGTACTCAAGATAACAAATAGAATAAAGTTAGATGAAAATAATTTTTTTGGATTATTAAATAATTTAATTTTCATTTGACTTCTTCACTGATATATCTCGGTCTGTATTTTTTTGGAGAGAGTACTTTCTTTGATAATATATTTTCTATGAGTTAATAAAGTAAGTAAATTATATGAGCATAGAATTCTTCATTCCATTTTTTTTCAGTAGGATTTTTTATTTATTTTATATTCTATTGAGAACCTATTCTAGTTAACTTTTTATCAGAATATTAATTTTAGTTCCCTCTTTCATTAATTTCTTTATTTTCCTCTTCATCTTTGATAATTTATAATTTCAGTAGTGGTTAAGTGATTTAAGGTCTATCAAAATTATTTAAGTTTGACGATTCAAATTCAAATGATTTTTATATAAGATTATTTGAAAATAACTTTTCTTTATGATTTGAAAATAATTTGGACACTCTAACATTATTACTGATATTAATGTAATTGAAAATACTTAAAATTATATTCTGCAGTTTCGACAACCTTTTCTATTGGAGACAATTCATCAGGATCTTCTCTATATAGTGCTTCACTTAATTTAATTAGAATTTTTTACGCTATATCATAAATAGTCAAATCAGCTGCTGCTCCCATTTTTAAGAAAATTGTAGCTATTTTAGCATTCCTTAAGCAAATTTCTCTTAATTCTACTTTTTCTTTCATCATTTAAATATCTTTGTCTGGATCAATTTTTTCAATAAAGAGCTTTTCTTCTTGAGTAAATGGTTATTTCATTTAACCCCAATGATACCAGACAACTTCATCTCTACAAATTTTAAATGAATCTGGAAATGAATAGCCATGATCAATAGGAATTAAGAAATAATCAAATGATTATCTCGTTTATCCATTAGTTTAAGGAAGCTTTCTTGAATAAGAAATAAATAGAAATAGATTACTTCTTTCTAACTAAAATGTTTTCTTCATTCCGATCACAATTTAATATTCTAATATCTAGTATAGCTATTTTTCTTGCTTCTATAGAGGGGTATAATCCACTTCCATAATTTCCAACATTATCATCGTGAGTAACATATAATTAAAATGAACCCTCTTTAATAGGAATTTTTTCATATTAAAATTATTTATATTCTTCTGCCTCATTAAATGTTGGATGACAAATTTGAACATAATTAGTAATAGGGACTAAATTAATTATCTTGAACATTACCATTATGATAATGTCCAGAAGATTGATCAATTAGATATGTAGCCACTTCTCTATCTACTCCTTCACCTGATAAAATTCCTTATCTAAGTCCAGGAGAATTCATTTTCCCCCTCATTCCTCTTGGATTATTTGGTCTATATAAACACATAATTTTTTACGCAAAGGCTTCTTCATCATATGGTTTGAAAATTGCCACTGGTTTATGATTTTAATTTTCTAATATATAAGTTCCCTATGTCCCAAAATCTGTCAACTTTGGAGTTATTCCTCTCAAAAAGGCTCCTTCTACAGCCCATTTTGCATTTTAAAATTATTCCTAAGTACTTCTAGACTCTTCCAATATATTATGAAGACTATTGATGAAATACAACTATTAACTCTATTTACGAGCTATCAATTTTAACGTAACATGATTCTTTATTCCATAGTCCTATTTTATTCTATATTTTTTACTTCCAGATCCTAATTATTTTATGTTAATTCTTAATTTTTATATAGCACCCTAAAATTCCCTATATCTAGTTTTGTTGCTTTATTTATTTTCTACTTTAAAATTGAAATCTTCATCCAACTATATAATTTTAACGTAAAGTCATTCCCTGTTTACACCTAATTTTGTATATGCAACACTAATTCTTTTTGAATACGTTGGTCATAAGGATTTGAAGAACTAAAGCCAAAACCTTTTATTTATATATTCTCTTACTCTCAAATTTCCTTTTGACCTGTCCTTTTTTCATTTATTAGAATCTTCAATTTTTATAATATTATCTTTGTGTTAACAGATATAATCAATAAAATACATTATTACAAATATATATGAATTCTTTTAAAATTTACATTCTTAAATATATATATCAACTTAATTTCTCATAATTCCGATTTATTTATATATATATTCATCATTTATACGTATATCTATAACTTTACATCTAATTGAAATTAAGATATTAAATAAATAAAATTAAGAATAGACAGCAAAGACTTAAGCAGTAAAATATATTAAAATTAAATTCTTTTCATAAATAAGTATTATTGTCATGAAAATTAATTTTATAACATAGTGAAATTTGAATTCATTAGGAATGACAATACTGTAGATAAAACAGTAAAAATAAAAAATAATTAAAAATAGATTTTTACATCTAATTTATGTACTTTTAACTATTTTATGTTGTTGAAATCTGTGCTTAAGCTTTTTTTTATATTTGATAATGAAATAATATTGATTAAATCAAATAATATATATGAAATTCAAACTTAATTAAAATTACTGGTTCGTTGAATATGAATGAATAATTTGATTTATATGAGTAAGATTGAGTTCAGAGGGATCAGACTGATGTTTATAATTAGACATTATATATTGTTATAAGAGTTTAGAGATAAATTAAATTCATTTTCAGACTAGAGGTGAGATTGTTCTTCGTTGCAAAATAGTATTTTTACTACTGTCTAATTATATTTCTATTCTCATAGTATTCCTTAGTTTTGTTTTACTCATGGTATTTCTAGGATTCTTCTTATATTTTCCAAATCCATCAGGTAAATTTAATGGGAATATTATTGGAGAGTCATGACAACTTGTAGTATTTTTAGCAGTTGTCTTTTTTGAAGATCTTCGTTCGATAATTGGCTCAAAAATTTCATTTGAATGATTGACGACTTATGCACAGCCCATAAAGAATTCTGATTGTAAAATAAAATTAATTGGGTTATTTGTGATAATGGATTTTAATTGAAATTTGGCTATTTGAAGATTATTGATGATCACTAAAGACAGACACATCCTAATGATTATTTGAAATAATTATATATAATAGCGATATACATAAATTCGATAAGTTCAATAAAATATAAATAATTATTTTATATTTGATATAATTCTAAATTTCTTGAATGAGTACAAATCAATAGCCAAATAAATAAGAGCTCTCTGATGAAGGTAATAATTGAATTGGAAATTATAGAATTCATGAAACTTCATGCTAAATAATTCTATAGAACTCATGGATAATTGATAGGAAGTAAACCATAGTACATTCCAGTTCCTAAAGAATATAATGATAACGGAAAGTTTACAGATGTAAATAATAATATTACAATAGCATTTATTAATGGCAACAATGTACAGGAATAACAGTCTCAATACTACTTGTGATAAAGAGCGCTGGATTAATGGTTCTAAGGATTGGATGGAACATTTATAATGAAATTTATAAACAATATTAATTCATTTATTAAGTCTTTAGCATATTTCACAGAAATATTATTTAGATTTTTGATAAGCAAAATATTTGCTAAAACAAACAACACATATTGTATGAAATTAGCAATCCAAAATCGGATGTATATTATTAACTTGAATTTATTGTTTTAATAATTCATCCTTTAAATAAAACAGACAAATTGCACAATAATTTTGAGTATCAGAGAGTTCAATTTTTATGTTCTTAATTTATTATTACTTAAAATCGATATTGGATTCATTTGGAGAAGCATATTGTTTAGATTTATTATTAATTTATAATCTAGAGTTTTATTATATACTTAAATTTGAATTATTATTAAATAACTATGTTTGCTCTTCTTTTTTTGGTCTTGAATCTTTTCATAGGAGAGTTGTCATACCTCCTTCAAAAAACAATGACATATCATTCACTTAGATTTAAGCATTGCAGCCTTTTACTTAACATAATTTTATGATTGAATGTTTTTGAACACAATTTAAACAATAATTGTGTTTGCAAAAAGGATTTTAATAAGTGTTTTCTTTAGTATACTGGCAAATATCACATTATTTTCGAGTTCCAATTTAATTCATCTTAAATAAAATATATATTATTAATTAAATAATATTAAGAAAAAAAAGAATGCTTTTATTTAGCCAATAATTAATCTTACATAATAATGATAATGACAAATAATATATTGAATAAAGGGTAGAACTAACAGAATCAATAAGGGAAGTCTTTAATATTTCGTATTTCTAAAATGAAACCATAATGCTTTGATATTTCACCTTGTCGCAAAATAATTTGTATTGGATATACAAATAAATGTTTAATTTTTTGGGACTTTATAAGTGGTTAAAAATTAAAATGTCATTAACTCTCTTTTATTCCAATTTAAATATTTTACTCTGCAGATGGTAAATACCAATTAATTAGATCAAAATAAAATCCTAAGAAAATTTATATCTATCAATTAAATAGTATGGAATAGGAGGAAATAATTTAATCTACATATTTGTGTTAGAAAATACTTTAATTTAATATCTCTTAAAATTAAGAAGCTTTAATATTGGGATTATCTCATTTTAGCATTATTAATTATAAAAATAAGGGGATATAATAATAAATAAATTGTTAATTTGTTTCTCTAACTACTCTAAAAAATAAAGATCAAATATGTAGTGTGAATTGTCATGATGAAATTGCTGAAATAAATATCATTTTATTTAAAACTAATTTTAAGATTATAAAAAAAACTTTTTTTAAGGTGCAAAATGGTAATATCAATATCTAAACAAGTAAAAATAATTCTTTTATTGTTTCGAGTAATAAATCTAAAAATCGAATTTGGAATGTTTAAACAATGAAATTGTTAAGAAAAAAATATTATGGAGAAGATCATATAGGAGAACTTTTAATTAATTCAATTTCAAATTTAGTTTATTTCCATCTAAGTTCCTTTGGAATTGTAGTATGGAATATCAGTACTGGTAGACATAGAGTGGTAATAGAAGATTAAAAAAATAGACTCTCTTGTCTTCAAGTAATATCAAACTGCTAATTAATATATAAAAGTAATTGGCATGTTCATTCTACAATTTGTTTTTGATTTATAAATATCAATATCTTTCATTTATGTTTTACCATAAATTAAATAAACTCATCAAATGAAACTTCCTTATCCACCTTATTATTCTTATCTTTCTTATACCTAACAATAACTTTCTGTTTTTATTGAAACAATTTATCTCTTATAAATACTATAAATTTAATATCATGACGATCAGCAAATGTAATCTAAATAGACACTTATATAAATACACATTCTTCTAATTAACAAGTTTCATCATCATTATAAATCATAGCTGATATATCTAAATAATGACAGGCCTACAAATACATTCTTTTAGCATCCTAAAGATTTCCTCCAATCTATAATATATTAATTTATTATACTGAACAAATCAAAACAGAGTATTTAAATAATAATGAATTAGGTTATTCTTGGTAAACTGAAAAAATTTCCTCTAAAACATCTAATTCAAGGGTAAAACCATTAATCTCTACTTTTTTATTACAGACCTAAGATAGCCTTGCTCCTTCTTTCAATATATTACTCTAAACTTTAGATAAAGGTAATTCTTTTTAACTATTATTTTGTAATTTGTATTATACCTTATTATAGAATTAGATCTTGATAATTATGTAGAAGTTCCCCCAAAATGATTTAGATTAATTTCTATTTTTTATTGAGGAACATCCATTATAATCGAGCATAATGTTTATAATTTTTTACAACTTTTTTCATATGATCCTCCAAACAAAATTGGAAGTTGAACAAATTCTCCTTTAGATTTTAATTTCAAGCAAGTTAATTCATAATGAAATCCATAGTTGAATCCATATTTTTTATTATTGATTGAACAATCAAACAATATTGGAATTTCATAATTATAACATTAAGGATTCATTTATTCTCTAATTTTTCTATAACAATGCAATTATTAATAGATTTTCTTTCCAAATTCTATCATTTTATTTTACTTCCATTTTAGATCTTCATTATTTTATAGTTATAGAACTTCAACAATATTAATATCCTATATTTTGCATTTATATTAAAATAGTAGAATGAGTTTATCCAATTTATCTAAGTATTTTTCTTGAATTAATTTAGCAACTGAATTTTCTTAATCATTTAAAATAAAATATCTCAATTTACTTGCATTAAACTAATTATATGAAGCTACTTTTGCCATATATTAACATATCTGTTTTTAGGAATCAAAATCATAAACATTTAATGCAAATAACAAATCAATTATGAATTCTTAGTTACTTAATTTAAGTTTTGGTACTTCTAAATTCAATTAATCCATCATTTAAATTGATAAAATAATTGTTGACACTAATCCATCATCATCATTAAATTAAATCTAATCATAATTCAATTAATTTTGAACTTTAATTTGATCTAATTCTGAAATCATCGTTTCTCCTATTTCAAAACATTAAATTGACTTGCCTTATTGCAATTTATTGTTCAATAATTGAAGTTATTTAACAAATGAATTTCTTAATTAGTGTCTAAAGAAAACAATTTCACCATTCTAATTCATCATCTATATTGGTTGCTGATGTTAACTATATAGAAATGTTCCATTCTTATCAACATCTTTAGGTTTATTAATGATATAAGGAGTTTATATTTAAACAATACATTAATGATACATAAATTGTAAAATTTTAGGCATATAGTATTATTTTACATAAAATTTCTAATTGATACTATGTTATAAATAAAGTCTATCTCTATCTAAATAGTTTAATCTTTTATTGTTGAATAATGCCTCAATTAATTTCTAGTAGTAAATACTTTCATTATCTTAAGTTCCTAAAATCTTGATAGCTTCTTTTAAATATTCATCTTCCATTTTAGGTGGAATTAATTCACTATGAAGTATTTCTTGAATTGTAGGTCTTTTTTTTGGATCTTAATTAGTCATCCACTTTATTAAAGCAGATTATCGAGGATGAGAATCTTAAAAAGATTTTGGTAATTTTCCATTTTATTTCAATTAAGAAAGTGTTTTAACTCTTTCTTTATGATTTTGAAATGGATGCCACATTTCCAATAAAATTACACCTAATGCAAAAACATCTCTTTTCTCATCAAATTCTTATTCATTATTTGGTGGACAATAAAAATAAGTTCCTACATTTAATGTTTTATCTAATAATTCTTAATCTTCTTTCTTTAAAGATGGTTGTTAAGTAATAAAATTTAATATTTCTGGAATTTCATTTGTATTCTCAATTGAATTGCTATATACAATTGAATGAGAATTTTTAGATGTATGTTTAGCCAATCCAAAGTCTCCAATTTTAATATCTTCTGTTGTATCAATAAAAATATTTTCTGGTTTTAAATCTCTATGAACTATTTTTTATTAATGAGTATACACCATTCCTTCGAGAATCTATCGAAATTGATTCCAAATGAATGATTACTCAGATTTTGGATAAACTTCTTCAATTTACTTTCTCAATGTTCTTGTACAATATTCAGTTTGAATATATAAAACAAGTATTTTTTTTTCATTTTTAACAAGTGGATTATCAGCTTAATATATTCCACTACCTAAACTAGAAGCATTAAATTTAAATTAACTATCTGATTACTATGTGAATCCACTAACTAATTAGATCTCAGAATCGCTAAAAAATACAATTTAATTATACTCTTCATTTATTTCTAAATCTTCTTATGTTTTATCGCATTCATCAATCCATGCTTAATAATATCTTATAACATATCTATGATGAAGATGACTCAATAAATCTACTTCTCTCATTATCCTTGCCAAACCTTGTCCATATGGAATTTTTATTTTTTTGACAGCATAAAATCTACCATCAATTTTATTTTTAACTTTAAAAACTTCACCACTTAAATTTAATTAAATATTCTTACAAAGATCCTTTTCCTAATGTTGTTACTATTTCAAAATCTGCTTCCATTCTATTAAAAGATGGTTCCTTAATTAAAGTTAATTTTGTTTTAGGAGAATGAGATAATTATTAATGTTACTCCTCTAATACTTTTGCATTATTGCTTATATTAGATAATTTTGATGAAGATTTACTATAAGGAGTAAACAATAAATTCATCAAATTAGTTCTATCAGTTAGATTCTTATCTTAAATTTTATGCATCTAAAAGATTTCAGCCATTTTAAAATCTATTCTTTCTTATTCCTAATATAAATCAGTTTATACATTTTTAGCTATTGTATCAAATTTATTGAAATACAAATTGTTAAAAATAACTTCATATTTTGGTGATAATAATTTTAGCAATTCTTTGTTTGTGGTAATTTAAAACAGATTTAATAGAGTGACCAACTATTTATAGTTTTAATAATGATAATTTTTTTGAACTATCTAAAATAATAATTTCATTAACCTTAATTAAATGAATTAATAATAATTCCATTCCTGATAGTTATTGCCAAGCATAAACCTTTGGACTTTTCTGTAAAAATGGCTCTGAAGGCTCTGTCTCTGGTGCATTATTCTATTAATCTAACCAATCTTATCTTAATCGAAATTCATCTTATATTGAAGCATTCTTAGTATTCTCTTTTTCTTCTATTATTTAACTTGACTTAGTAAGTAATTTTTTTTATTTTTCTCTCTTTTTCTCCTCTTACATAAAGATATCATATAAATTTCTTGTGTTGATTTTTTCATTGTAGTTGTGTTAATGCTTTGAAGTCACCTACTTTTAACACTATAAAATAATGCATTTTTATAACCTGCACAACAATAGAAAATATTATTTATTGGCCTGCTTAATTTAATCCAGTCTCAAATAAATCAGAAAATAGTTCTTCTTTCTAAATATCATTAAAACCCTCTAATTATATAAAATCAATTTTTGGAACATGATCAGGGTAAGATTATGGAAAATGTAACCCCAATACAGCCATAGCTTATGCTTCACTTTCATCAAGTATTTCCTCAGGATAAATTGTAATTTAAATAGCTTTTACATATCCAATCTCTGGTGGAATTCCTATGATTTTATCCTGATATATTAATTTCAAATTGTTTATTTCTTCTATCAATTGATTGCTTGCTTTAATGTCTTTAGTTTGTATCTTTAGGCTAGGTTTTTATTTAATAACCCTTTCGTGTTAAATCGATTAATTCATTAATTTATTTTTAGTTAATTTTTATAAAAAATAAATAATAAACAAATCTTCACTAATAAAACATACATGCATCTAAAATGAAATCTGATGTATAAGTATTAGGTTTCTTGCTTTCACCTATTATATAAACATTTTTTGTTGCTTTTCTAACTACATTTCCTCCTCCAATTTTAATCAAATATTCAATCTCAGCTTTTGAAGGAATTACGTCTTCATCTACATAATATTTGCCTTCAAAAATTTAAATAATATTATCATTGCTTTCAAAATAATCATCTCTACTTTAAATTATTTATTTAATGCTCAATCCAAATTATTTTTCAAAATCTTCACTCTCAGGTATATAATCTTAATGATTTAATTATTCATTTTATGCAATTGAATCTTTTAGCCAATCAAAAGTGACTATTTCAGCTCCATGCATGAGAGCTGCCAAAAATTTAAATGTTCTTTTAAAAGGAGTGCTTATTATCAATAAATCAAATTTCTCAAATTATGTCTCCACTAACTCAAGATTTAGTTTTATTAAATCTTTTTCTGAAGGAATTTAATCTTCCTAAAATCCACTGAAAGCAATAGTATAAAATTATTTATCATTGTTGATCAATCTTTTTTTCCTTAGACCTTTTCTTTTCTTTGGTACAATATTAGAGGCCTTTTCTTCTAATATTTTTGTATTTGGTAATTCCATTGAATTCGATTATCGAGGCAAATATTATTATTCTTTAGGTTTGATTTTTTCTTCTTCTAATTCTGATTTCGAATTATTGCTAATTTCATCAGTGATTTTTTTTAACATTCCAACTTTCTTTGTTACCTCTTTTTTTTTCTTTTCTTTCTTTTTTTTATTTTCAATATCTTTATTCTCTTATTATTTAAATTTCTTAAGAGTTTCTTCTTATTGAGATGGATTTCTTTCTTCTTAAATTTCATCAGTCTTCATACTAAATAGATTAGATTTTAGTGATTAAAATCTTTTAATAACAGGTTAGATTATATTTTAATTAGGTAATTCTGGTAAACTACCAAAAATATCATTTAATTCAATATTTGATTAGATTTCTATTTTAGGGGATGTATTATAATTTTATTCTGATTATAAACTATTTATTCTTTTGAATGGAGAAATCTATGATTTTTATTCATCTTTATTGACTTATGATGAAAAAGCCTTTTCTAATTCTTCATCAATCACAGTTCCTTTTATTTCATCTTTTTTTTCAAAGAAATTTTATTATTCATCATCATTTACTGTAGCTCCTAATAATTAAGAATCAATAACTGTAGAATCAATTATTTAATTTTGAGAAACTTAAATTTTTGGAATAACATTTGTAGTATTTTGCTGTTATTTTTTAATTTTAAATAAGTCACTAAAAAGTGTTCCTTTTTTTTAAATTTGAAGATGTTCTTTTTCAAATGGTTCTGTTTATGTGGCCATCTCTTGTTTAATATTAGATGCTTATTAATTCATTAATCTCATATTTGAATACTAAACAATGAGTTCATTTAATGTGAATATTTCTTATTAATCTGGTTCTTCAATAATTAATGTAGATTAGCAAGGGTCTTATGTGTTTAATACCTATGTATTTATAGATTATTATGTTGTTTATATAATAGGAGGTTATTATGGAATTTGAAGTATGTCTTCTAATGGCATAGTTCCTGGAAATTGTTCAAGATTTTAAGTGATTTAAAAATGATAGTTATCTTTTTATTGAAAAGATTGATGGGTTTCAAGAAGTTTAAATTTATAGTTTTAAAAGTAGTAATTTTTGGTTGGAAACATTTCAATAAGAAAGTTTTTTGGAATTTCTACTTTGGAATATGGTTTCAGTGTAGAATCTTTAAATACATTGAAAGTGTCACTAAAATGAGTGAGATATACATCATTATTAATCATAGCCTATATTTTAAATTAAGTGTATTTACTATTGAAAAAAGTACATTTTAAACATTTCGGATAACAAATTTGCACAATTTTGAATCGCTACCAAATTTATTTTCACCTTAAGTTAATCTGTATTTATAAATCTCTTGATCATTTTGATCTAATACTTAGATCATAAAATGTAATTAATTTATAATAAAATTTTTAAAAGGAAAATATTATATAATGAAATGATCTTTTAATTATAAATTATAAGAATGATATTCATTTTTATCTCTTTTCAGACCCAAATAATTTTTACAAATTTGAATTTTTATGAAACTAATAATTTGTAGTAGTTTTAGGGTACAAAATTTAAACAAACTATTCAGTTTTAATTCTATCTTTTTCATTTTTATGGAAATTTGAATCAGGCATAGTAGCAGTTCTTTCAGAACTAATTTAACCTTTAGTTGATTCTAGAATTTATTTAAGAGCCTAGAATTTATAATGTAATGATACTTTGATATCAGGATTTGAATTCTATTATTATTACATAGTTTTGGAATAAGCATGTGTAACTTTAGATGATTGAATTAATGAAGAAGATTTATTTGAAAACTCATTTTTTTTAAGTAAATCTGTAATTTCTGACTTTCCAGAATATTTAGGTACTCTTCTTACTTCGGAAGGTGAGATTTACTAAAAATATTTAATAGTTTATAGATACTCTTTATCTTTCTGGTGAATTAATATCAGAATTAGGTATATTTTCAATATTAAGCTAGGCTAAATTGACATGATTAGATCTATTAGGTTTATGTTCTGGTTTTAGAGGTAAATCTTCTCTTGAGAAATAAAAGTTTTTAAGAATAAGGTTTGGATTATTATCAGTATTCTAATAATTAGATATATATAAATACCACATATTCTTTTTAAAGATTGATTGCATATTATTTTCTGAATTCAGAATCACCTTTATTAAATTCTTCTTCATCAAAATTGTATTTTAAAGGTTCAGGTTTATAAGGGGTTTAAAGTTTTTTATTAAGAATATCTTCAAAGTTGATTCCTTCAAACCAAGGATGACTTAAGATTTCTACAATGCCTTAAGATTATCCCAATCTTTCTTATGGATCCTTTTCTAATAATTAGCATATTAATTCTTTTAATAGATCAGATATTTAAACATATGGAGGGAAAGAGACCTATTCAGATAAAATGGAAGTGTAGATTTCTTAAGTATTATGTGAATAAAAAGGTGGTAAACCTGTCACTAATTCATATAAAAGTGCACCTAAACAATAACAATCTACTAAATAATTATGTCCACTCTTTAAAAGCATTTCAGGAGCCATGTATTCTGGTGATCCACAAAATGAATATGCATAATCTTCATTTGTCATATTTGGTTTACTTAAACCAAAATCACTTAATAAAAGATGTCCTTTTAAATCTAATAAAATATTTTCTGGTTTTATATCTCTATATACTATATTTTAAGAATGTAAATATGCCATTCCTATACATATTTCAACAAAATAATATTTGGCATCTTCCTCAGATAAACGTTTTAATTTTCTAAGATGATAAAATAATTCACCACCAGCACAATAATCTAATACAAAGGCTATGTAATATTTAGTTTCAAATGCAAAATGTAAAGGAGTAATAAATTCATTATCCATATTTACCATAATATCTCTTTCATTTTGTACTATCACTTCCTTTTGATTTTCCATTATAAAGTTTTTGTCAATCAATTTTAATGCATAAAATTTACCATTATCTCTTTTTCTCACTAAATACACTCTTGAAAATCCTCCTACTCCAATACATTTAACCAACATAAAATCTCTCAATGAAACTCTCTTACCATGAAGAGGTTAAGAAAGTAAAGGTTATAATTATAAAGTCATCCCTTAAAATACATTTAAAGACAAATTTGGTAAACTTAAATAGTAATCAAAAGGAATGTTTTTCTATATCGTAAAGAATTAACATATTTTATTAATTTCTATTAATACATTATTATATTAACCTTCTTAAATCTAAACTTCTTCAGTTGATCCAGTTCCTCCTCCTTATTTCATAAAGGATTTTTCAATACAAGCTATTTACTGAATCAAATAATTATATAAGTTATCAGTTGTTTAACCTATAAAATTATAATAATAGTGATATCTATATAACTTTATAAAAATATTATTACTTTTAGCCTTTATAAACTAAAATTATCTTTAACTATTTTTAAGAATCATAATGATTTGATTCTTCACGATTATTTCTTTTTTATGAATCACTTCTTTATTATGTTGATTGATTTGTAGATCTTATTTCATTATTATTTTTGTGGAATTACTTCTTGTTTTTACTTAAGATCTATTCAATCGATTACTTTAATGTATGAGAATCTGACAGTAAAGATTATTTATTTTGTCTCATCGTAAAGTATTATTAATAGTCAAATGCCTATATATTCTTTTATTCTTTTGCACTCTTTATCTAAAGATCCATAAACTATTGATCTACTGTAGATTTCGGTAACTTATTACTACTCTAAGCCATTTAACTCATCTTATTGTATTTTATTGTATTTTTTTATTATTTTGGTTCCATTTACAAAGTAGCTAGAGACAGATTCTTTCCTTTTAACAACTACTTCTTATTTGAATTACATTCTTCTGTTTAGATACGCTTAAATAATAAAGATTAATTACATTCGATATTTTTAATCGTTCACTTTTCTAACTATTTAAATTATCAATACTTCTACTCTGTTGTAATTAAGTCTTTATATTATTAGTCACCTAATTAAGAGTATTTCTCTCATTTTTAAAATATTCTAATAAATCTTATTTTGTATTTTTAGCACCTGTGGTTATGCTTTCAGTCTTTATTATTTTCCCACTATTCTTTTTTTATTTAAATTCCATTGAATAAGGATTGTCTTAAAGACTGCCTCTTCCACTTGTTTACATTGCTTAAGATTAATAATTTTTCATTAACGATAATTATAATTATGAATAACCATAACTTGTATGGAATCCATACTTAATAAATTTAAGCAAAATATATTCATAATTCTATAAATTAATTGAAAAAGACTTCAAATTAATATAAACTGACTAGTTTAATACTAAAATCATTCTTTATTTTACTTTCTCATTTCCATCATCTTTTGTTTTGCTTCTACTTTTGTATTTTGTACTAAGTCAGTCATTAGAGAAATGAATATTGGAATCATTATCATAGTGATTGTAATTATAATAATGTATTGTAACTAATATTTTAAACTATTATTATTACATATTTTGTCTCGAAAGAATAGATTAATTCTTTAGCATAAGTATTGTAAAACCCTTATTATTCTATATCATTGTCTAATCCAAACCTTAATGTGCATCTAAGCAATCCCAAAAATGTATAAAAAAAATTATCATGATTAACAAGTCTTGCCTGAATTGTTACGATCCATGACATTGCACAAACACTTATTATGTACATCAAAACAAGTAACAAAAACCAAGACTCTTTATTGAACTATTATATAATAAAATTAAAATTGTTTACTCTTATCATAACTAATCCATAACATTTTAGGTATGGACTCCAATTTCCCATAAATCTCACAATAGAAATCATTAAAAATATCACTAAAATAGCTGAAAACAATCTATTCACAAATAATGGTTCTATCAAAGCACTTGTGTCTTAATATTAATCTGAAAACAAATCTATTTCATTTAATGCATCCTCATAAAATGTATCAACTGTGTTCTTCATAACCATACAAAATTAGCATAATATATCTAATATTCATATTTTTAATTTACAGATGTAATCAAAAACAAGAGGAATTCTAATTGTAATGTAAACCACTTTTAAATTGATAATTATATATTCTCCTACAATCAATTCTTTCTATTATATATCCTTTAAATCACTTTCACTAATTTCCTTTTTTTTAGCTTCCATTTTTTTTTTCCTATTTAATAAATCCATATATTATAAGTATATGACAATCAGATTATTTTTAGTTCCTTAAAAGTATAAACCGAAAAAATCTAATAAATATATATGTTCTCTACCGAAAAATGAGGAGATTAATAGAACAATAGAACAATAAAATATAATATCTTTGTTAACTAGAACTTATTGTGAAATTTCACTTAAATTAAATGCTTCTGCTTTAAAACTATTATAATTGAGAAGACGCTAAAGATTAAATTAATTAATATTTACATCATTGAATAAGTAAAGAGTAGTGATTGTGACTTATACAAGTCTTTATGTTGGACTATTATAATAATTTAAAATGAATTGAGATTCTTTTATATTAAATTACAACCAATTTTCAGACATCATTAAATCATAACTATCTTTAAATGATGACCTTGAAGTCAAATTAAATTCCCAAATATAACCTCCAAATTGCTCATTGTAAACTTTAGGGTCAAAATTTGATTTGGAATAGTTTTTATTTAAATCACTTGTTTATGTTATGTCAAATTATAAACATGATTAATTTAAATCAACAAAAATTTATTTTTGATTTTAATTTAATATTTGACAATTGTTGATGTCATCCTAATTATCATTAAATATTTACTATACCAACAAGAGTTTAAACAAGCAAACCAGATTTGAGAGGATACGTCGGATTAGTTGATCCATTTGATATTGATAGTGAAATAATTTCTGATATATTAATGATTGGAGAGATGTATGATTTTTAAATAGCCATATTTAAGTTTAAATTTTGTAATAATTAAGAGTTGGTAAAAAAATCTATTTCATTGATTTCAACAATTGTATAAAGAATTAAAAGCGATAAGAACAAAATAGATTCTAAAATATACTTGAATCTTGTTAAGTAATCCATATATTTAGACCAATTTATATCCTTTTCTATTCTCCTTATTGATCTAAGTTATTTAGTCATTAATTCTTAGATACCTCCTTCAAATCCAAAATCTGCTTCTGTTTATTTTGTATCTTCTTTAGTTTTTTTTTATTTTACAATTTGTATACCTATAGCAGGTTGATAGTTTTTTAATAACTCATAAATTGGAGGATAAAGTTAATCTAATATATTCATATCAGGTTAGAGTACATTTCCCAATAAATCTACATAAAATATCTCTTATTCCTCTGCCATACAACATGACTTCACAATTTGTTTTAATTCTCTAAATGTACGTATTGTTCCTGGTACTTTAACAATTAAAGAGCTATGTCCTTATTTTAATGTTAGATAGTATCCATTTTCTATAATTACTTTTTCATCTTCCTATTCTTTCTTTTTTTCTTCTTTTTGCTAATTCTAAGTCATTATCAGATTTCCAACTTATAACTATCTCTTTGATATTTCTTGTTCTTAAATACTTTCTAAATACTCTTTTTTGCTGGTGCTTAGAAGAAATAGATTTAATGTTTAAATCACATTATTTTCTACCATCTCATCCAAACCTTAATTTTAGTCTGTTTGACGAATAGTTTTTAATGTCTGATTATGTTTACTGTATTCTTCCATAGATTTAATCAAAGATTCATACTCCTAAAAGATATTTTATTTAAATACTTTTTCTACTCTACCTATCTCGTCAAAATAAAAATCATTCAATTTTTCTTCTTCTACTTATTCTTAATGAAGTCTTTTGAACTCTTCTTTGAGAGTATCTCTTTATTTTTTAAATGGAGCCAACTTTTTATTATTGTATTGATTATTGCTCATTTAATTAAAAAGTAGTATAAATTGAAATATAATAATTAAAAAAGAGAATATACTAAAATAGGATATTAATATCATAAATCAAATAACAGAATTGAGGTATGATTTAAATGATTCTTGACTCACTATTAATTAATTTAAATTCTCCTTTAATTTTGATGATTTTAAACCAAAATTGACTTTGCATTATAAACTTCTATTGCTCTTAACTACATCTTTATATTCTCTTTATAAATCTTCATACTCTTCTTAAAATTCTTATTTTTAAGAGATTAAATGCATGCATTTTTAGAGTAATCGAAACATGTCTTCATTTCCTTTTTTTTAGTCAAGCTTTTACTTTCCTATTAAAATTTATAGAATATTAAGGTTTTTCTGTTTCAGAGTAGGCTTCTATTAAGATTAATCAAGATCATTAATCTATGTTTTTTACTATGTCATTTGGTTCATGCTATTATAAAGCATACTAGAAAAGGCCTTCTCATTAAATGAATATTTTGGACGATGATGGGTCATCTTTGCTGGTGGTGATTATGCAAGTGATTTTACTTCTGATTTTCTATGCATCTTTATATATTCAATTAAGTTCTTCATTTATGAATTTCTATGAATTCGTGCATCAATTTAACTTGATTTTAGAGTACCTGAGTATTTCTCCAAAAATTCTAATTTCGAATTCACAAATTCAAGACTTACTATACTCAAGTTATCTACCATGTAATTTATTCTCTAAACTAATTATCTATACTCTTCATCTAAATCTTGACATTGACTAATAATTGACAACATTTATTTTAACGAACAAAAATATTAATTTATCACTATATTTCCTTTATTAATATGGTTTCTCCACAAATCAACCGTTAATCCAATGATGAATTTACAAGATTAATCTTTATCTCATTTTAAAGAGGAGGATTCAGATTTTGAATTTAAATAAGTTTCAAAAAAATGCAACTATTCTGGAGGTTTTTTTTCAGTAGACCTCCTAAAATCCTAAATTTTTTAAAGAAAATTAAAAATAGCTAAGCAAATAAATTAGCCTTTTAAAAACTATAATAATAATAAATTTGACAAACATAAATAATTATTTTAAAATAATATCACTTCAGTTTTGAAAATTCAACACATACCTGAATCAAAATTAATGACCACATTTTATTCAAATATATTATGTCTAAAAACATATAATTAAATATTAAAACATGAATTAAGATTAGGTATATGAAGATTAATATTAAAAAAATTTCTAATTATTAATCATGTCTAGAAAGTTGAGTAAAATATACAAAATTTTGAATTGATTTATTAATATATAATGATTTTATTTTTTAAATAAGAATAATAATTAATATACAGAATAATACTGATTTAGGTTTAAAATTTAAAAATAGTTTTTTTTGAAAAGTAAAATCTATTAATTAATAAGAAATCAATTTGATAGATATTCTTCGGCTATTTTTGATAAATCTAAATCATTTTCATTTATATCTTGGCTTTTTAACTCAATCTTTTCAAGATCTACATTTTCTAAAAATTGAAACATAGTATCAGAATTTTAATCAGAATTAAAATTCTATTTTTACTTTACGATATCATTTAACTACTCTAAACTTGAGACAGTTAAACTTTCTTCATCTTATTGAATAGATTTAAGTTTAGTTGAAATGGTAAATTAATCTTCAACAAAATTTTGTTTAGTTTGCAACTTGATTTTTAATTTTTTAGTTTATGCATTTTCTTCTAATTGTTTTGGTTTAATAAATTAATCTATTTTGGTCAATTGTATTTTTTTATCTTAAACTTTTTTTGGTTTAGTTATAGAACTAGATGATAATAATAAAGGTTAATAGAGTTATTTGGTTTGTTATTTTTCTTCTGTTTCTTCGGAGATGATATTTGAATTTTTGGTAAAGAATTTTTCAAGTTTAATTTATTTAGTTTCCTACTATTCCGTATTTTTGTTAGTTCTTTTTTATTTTTTGAGATCTTTATTTTTAGTTTGAATAGAATCTTGTTATTTAATTTTAATTTCAATAGAATTAATATCTCCATCAATAAATTAAATTTAAGGTTGTGATATTAAGATTCTAGGATTACTGGAATATAAATTAATATTAAATTCTTTAAGTTCTTTGATTAATTTAGAATATTTATTAACAGATTTTTCATAATCAGCAGCTTCTTTACCTTCTGTTAATAAGACAATAATTTTTCCATCTCTTTTTCTGCCAGTTCTTCCCATTCTTTATATCATTCTTATAGGACTGAAACCACTATCATAACATATGATCAAATCAACTTCTCCAATATCGAGACCTTCTTCAGCGATACATGTAGCAACAAGAACATTAAGTTCTTTTTTAAATTTCTAAGTAGTATTTAGATTATACATCAATAACTTATAATTATTCTTTTTATTTCATTCCTGCTTAATTTTTAGTACTAGCTTATCCAACAAATATTGAAGCCTTTACATTTTCAACTTAATTTATATGATTACACAATAATTAAGCATTATCTCTACTATTAGTAAAAATGATGACTTTAGATTCATTATGTGCAAAATGATTTTTACATATTTCTTTTAATTTATAAATTTTAGGATGTACTTCTTCAATATCATCCAATTCCATATATTTAACATAGGGTTGAATTCCTTATTCTAATAATATTTTTTTAGCATATGATAATTTATGCAAATGAGAAAGATGTTCAAAAACTTTGTTTGAGTTTGGTTAACCAATTTAAAATTACAATTAAGAATTTTTAAGAAATTCTCTAAGTTTGAAACAAGCTCCATAACTAAATATATTTGCTCTAGAACAAACTCTAATTAATTCTACAGGTAGAATCCCAAAACTTAATATTACATTTAATAATGGTTGAATTTGTTTATTAAGCTAATCTAAGATTTCACAATTATCAAATGATACTACAATCTTTTCTACAGATTTAAATTTTAAATATGGAACAACTTCAGGATCATTCTCATCCTTTAACTAATATTAAATAAATATATTTATTATATACTTCTATTTTTGCAATCCTTAAATTTGCCACTACTTATTAAATTTATTCAAGATTATTACCAGGAGTTGCACTTAATGCAATTATTCTTGTATTATATAGTAATCTTTTAACTATATTTGTATATGCATAATCTCCTACACCTTTATGAGCTTCATCTAAAACAACCAAAACTATATTTTGAATTAAATCTTCATTTAAATCATTTTCAAGTGTCTAAGGTGTTGAAAAATATATTTAAGATTAATATGTTCTATCATTTTTTGATAATTTTCCGTCAATTCCAAATTTCTTCATTGCTTCTTATTATTATGCCACTAAAGGTCTTGTTGGTGCTAAAAAGAATATCTTTCCTTTTGGAAACCATCTACTAAAATTTAATATTGCCATTGAAGCTATAAAAGTCTTTCCTAAACCTGTTGGTAAACAAACCATTGTATTGTAATAGAATGTAGACTAAACTATTGTAAATTAATATAATCGAAATTCATTTTGCAGAGAATATAACCAAATCTTGCTGCTGTTCTCATCTATGTCATTTTGTTTTTCTCCATAATCTATGGAGGGAAATATCTATATAAACTTTGTAATTTAATTCATTTATTTAACAAATAGTTAAAATTTAACAGGAATTTTAAATAATATAAGGAAATTCATAGAATATATATCTCAAAAGAGATATCTTACTTCATATATATTGACAATTAATTACTGATTATGAAGTTTGTTCCACTTACAATACATCTTTAGACAGTTGCAGAATTGTATGAAAAATGTGCTTAACTATCTGAATAAATAAAGGAATAAAACTCTAATACTGATCAAGATTCTAATAGCACAAATGAAAATACACAAATTTAAAATAATATTCAAATTGATGAAATTCAAAATATATCTCCTAAATCTTAAATAACGAAAAATAAAGAAAATATTAAGCAAAATATTACTAAATTTAAAACTTAACATAATTGTAAAGTTTAAAATTAATGTTCTGATTGCAATTAAGTTTATCAAGTAAAAATTAAAAAGAAAAATTTTAATAATAAGAATAGTTAATATAAATGTAAAAAATCTAAGAAAGGTATATAATTAATGAAAAAATTAAAAACATAAAAAAAATAAAAATAATTTGAAATAAATTTAAGTGAAAGATGCAATAGTGAAAATTCTAAAAAAAGCAAATCTGAAATAAAGAATACTTCTATAATTCAAAATGAGGATGAAAGAAATGATAATGAAAATCAGGAAAACCATGATGAATTTGAAATTTCATTATGATAAAATATACATAGATATATAGATTCATTATTTCTTTTCATACCTTTTAAGAATATCATCTACGCTTTTTCTGACTTCATAATTATTTGAAAAGCTTCTTGTTTATCTTTATCCATTACCATATTTCTCAATGATGGATTAAGAAGGACGATTTTATTGTTATTTATTCTATTATTAAGTATTAACTAAATTTTATGAATTTGGGTAAGATTTTAATACTTAAACTTAGGGATTATTAAATGTAGGAGGATTATCACTTTTAAAATGAGGAGATCTAGGACTTTCTTAATCATCTTATGTAGTTTGTATTTAACTAAATAAATTTAAAGATTTTTACAAAGGTTAGATAGGATTTTATAATTAAGATTGAGGAGGAACATTTTCAATAAAATTAAGTTTTTTAGTTATTGGAGTAACTGAATTACTCTTTCTAGAAGGTTGATTTTCATCTAATAATCGAAATGAAACTCGTTTTTTTTATTCTTTTGGACTTAAAGTGGAGGTTTTATCTTCATCAATAACACTTTTTCTTAATTTAGATTATAATTCTTCACATCTCCAAACTTCAGCAGTTATCAACTAATAATATATTTTCATATTTACTCTTTAAGAATTCTAAAAGTAACTATTTTATTATCCAAGCCATAATAAATATCTATTAGATTTTGGATCAAATGAGAATCCAAATCCATTATTATTAAAATAGTGTTTAGACGAACTTCTATATATATAAAAAACTGGAGAGATTTAAAATGCAATAATATTTTCAGTGTCTTTACAATCTATTTACCATTAACGTTTGTTATAAATTGCTAAAGTTAATTTTTTGTTGTTTTATTCATCTTGAAATGTAACTACTAATAAAATTTAAGTTTATTGCATTGAAATTAATATTTCTTGTATATTAATTGATTATAAAGCAGATTAATAAATTAATGTGACTTAACCATGTCGATGCAATTCGGATGATGCTAAACCCATAATAGCAAGCCATTCATATTTCAAACTGAATGAGTCTTTATCAATTTTTGCAACTCTCATTTGTTTAAATGGTTTTTACAATAATCGATAAGATAAATACAATCTTATAAGTTTTTGAATGTGTGGAAAATTAGCTTCAATTATAGACAAGAATTCATTGATTTTCATCTACTTTTCTTTAAATAAAGAATGAATCAAGACATCTAATACTTAAGTATCAATCTACTACTTTCTAATACAAAATGTTAGAAATATAGATATTATTAACTTAAAACATCAATATTTATATTACTCCTATGAATTGAAATGCCTATTAAACTGTTATTACTTGAATTGTTCCATCATAGTTTTCTGTACAAATCTAAAGCAGTATTGGTGTTATGTCTGAAGTACTTAATATTCCTTATACTAGAACTTTAAGTAAAGTCTTACATATATTAATGCATCCTTCAAGAGACAATTAAGTGGCTTTCAAAATATGCGAACAATATTCATACACTTATTCTCCAAATAAAGGATTATCTTAGAATATTCTTTCAAAGCATTGTTTATCTAAATAAGTAGTATGATTGTCCTCCTAAGAATGCTTTAGAACATCACATAATAGAAACACTTCTTTTTTGTCTAAAGTATTAGTTGGCTATCTTATTCTAACTGAACAACATGATTAATTATTTCCCATTCTCAATTTTTCAATTCAATAAATTTTATATATATTTATTTAATTAAAAATGTAGGATGTGCAACAACCTCATAGTTCTAAACTTGATTAAGAATCTGCCACTAATGCCAAAAATCATTTACTTTTAGTGAATGTAATTCACATTATCATATTCTATTAGAACATCACTGATTTATCAAATGAATTACTATAAAGTTATAAACATGAGATTGACCAATTGAAATAAGAATTACATTTAATGAAATAGAGAATTACAAATAATAATGAAGAAATCAAAAACACAACCTAACCAACTTTAGATGCTATGTTAAGGGACTTAAGATAAGTATAAACTATTAAATTATTTTAGGCCATTAACACATAAAAAGATGAAAACTCTAAATTACAATCATAAATTACAGAAATCAAAAAGGAAAAAAGCCAAATTTAACAATTAATAATTGCTGCTACTCAAAAAGTTGCAGAACTCGAGCATTAAGTAGGAAACTATACCTCCTCATGATTTATAATTATTAATTGATTAATCATGCAAAAGTCATAATCAGAATTTATAATCTTTCTTCTAATAATTTTCATTTTTTCTATGTATTTTATTTAATTCATTTATTGATTAATTCCCATTAATACTATATATATCTTTATTAATAAAATAATATTTATGATTTTAGTAAAGAATAAAGACAAATACTATCAAGGTTAAGTTTATAAGATTTTAGGTTTTATAAATTATTTTTATATGAAATTTTCTGAAAATCAATGAATTATTATAAAATGAATAAAAAATCATCAGAATAAAAGAATAAATCAACTTTTGTGAAAACTTTACTTAATTTGCAATACAAAAATAAAGATTATTTAGAATTAAAGTTATTAAAATATAATGAAGAAACTGCTTTCATGATTTGTGAAAATGAATAGTGTGAGTGAAATTTAAAAATAATATAAATATAAACACTCCAAAAATTTCTAGTTTTTTTTTAAATTAATTTGAATTTTTATATAGATAACTGAGTATTTATGGTTTTAAACTAGTTTTTGATCTGACTTCTGAAATTTTTTATCAACATCCCTAATTTATATAAGATATTGTTGATTTTAATTTGGCAAAAAGATTCATTAAAATAGAGACATACAATGTAGTTGAAGATGCTGGTTTTATTAATTTAATATAAGAGTTGAAAATGATCTCTTAAAATAAATTTGTCGTCTATGAAAAATTAGAGTAATGCAAATAGATTTAATGAATTACAAGTTAAAAAATTAGTGCTCTAAATTATTGATTATTAATAGTGTTAGTATTCAATATTAGATTGCTTACCAAGAAAGAATGAAGCAGAATATATAACAAAGATGTTAATTTCATTATAGGGATTATTTTCATCTTTAGTGAGAGTGGAATGGAATCTTAATTTTGTAAGAATTATTATATAATTATTAGAAAACAATATGTAAATACTTTATGATGAATTATTTCACAATAATATTATATAAGAATTATCAATAAATGAATTCGCTACACCCTTAAGTTTATAATATATTCCTATTACAATATAAAAACATTATATTCAACAAAATAAGGGAATCAGAAAAAATATTACGAATGATTCTGATTTGATTTGGAAAATAATGAAATCTAATGAATTTATTAATTAAATTTTAAACACAAAATCTCAGTATTTATTCTCATGCTTAACTTAATAAAAAGTATATATTAAAAATAAAAAAAAAATCAGGTGTCAAGATGACATCATACTATTTTGAAATGTAAGAATTTGAGGCAAGTTAAAATTATGTAAATTAAGCAGCTTTAATCTTTTATGAAGACACAGATGGTAGTCATTAGGATACAGATAAGTTTATTAATTGGGAAGAAGACCTGATTAAAATATCAAAGTCATCTCCTTCTTAGAGAGACTACAAAAAAAATATCTGTAGAAACATATTAAGATAAGCTGTTAAATCTATGAGAAGAGGAAAATAGTTCGAATATCTATAAATGGAACTGTAGCGAGAAACCTCAAATTTTATAGATTATTATCAGAAAAATTTACATAATATAAATGGATTCAGAAGCCTCAAAAAATAACTAATAATAGACTAAAAGGACACATCTGAATTAAAATTGTGGAAACGTGTCTTTCAGTCTTACATGGTTTGGTTCTTGAATTAAAGAGCATCTCTCTTCATTCTGAATGGAGAAGCTAATAACTTCAAGGAATACCTAAGATTCAAAAATGAAATTATGTTGTATTATACATAATTTCCTGAACAATGGTGTTCAAATGAACCAACATGGAAAATTGGTAATTGATTATTCAATTACAATCAAATAGGATTTATGATTGCATTATTACAATCATAAACAAAATATATATAAATGTATAATATCTATAAATTAGTACTTCTATTATCATCTTAAAAATAGATGATAAATTTCTTGATTCTGATTAAATAATATTTGTGATGATTTTTATAACCTAAGCTTATTAAAAATAATAAGAACCTTGAAATCTGACATAATTTTTGTAAATTGATTTGGAGAGATGAGTATAATAGATTCCACAATAAGAAATTTATTTATTTAATAGAATCCATCAATTCAAAATAGTTTAGATTGCTTGGTCTAATTGAACTTGTATTTTTTATAAAAGTGTTTTTAACAATATGCATAAGAGTGTTTATTTTTTAATATTAATATTACATGAGAGGATTAATAGTGAGATTCAGATTTTCAGAATAGGTTTCAGTTCAATAGCCTATATAATTAAAAAGATTTTATAAAGAAGCAAGTATTGAAATGGCTATAAATCCAACAAATCCATATCATTAATGGTTGGTGAAAGTAAAGAGATAAATAATATTGATAAGTTGGATGGAAAAACAGTAAAAACTCCATCTAAAAATACTTTAGCTGTTCCATCTCCTTAGTTGGCATCATTTATTGCACATGAATTTAATATGCAAACAGATTATATAAGACCAACTACTATGCCATTATTGACTTTAGCAAGAAATGCTATAGATATTGAGGCAGATGATAGAATTAGATAATTTATGGAACAATCAATTATAAGTTATTTAGAGAGAGATACTGTATTGTTTAGAGAAAATCCAGAAACTAAATTATATTAAATTTAGAAGGAGAAGTTAGATCCTAAATTGAAATTATTTAATGACAAATTTGGGTTACATTTATAAACCAATTTTGGATTAAACATAGACCCTTTGAAAGAATATGATTAAATAAAGATAGAAACTATAGTAAATGAGTTAAATAATTGGTAATTGGTGAGTTTGGATGCAAAAGTGGGTATGATGATTAATTGAACCAGAAAATTTAAAATCATGTATTTTGGCACTACTTATTTGGAATAACGATTTGTAAGTGGAAGAGGGAGTGAAATTGTCAAGATTGGAAGAGGATTTCTAGATAGCACAATTTGGTAAAGTGGAAGGGCATCATGATTATGATGAAAATACTATTATGATGAATGTTTCAGCAGCAAAATTGTTTGCATAATTGATTCAAACATAGAGTATTGTTTATTGATCATAAGGAAGATTAATTTTATTTATATATATTTTATCGATAATTTATATATTTAT